TGTACGATGCTTTGTAATGTTCATAGCAGCCTGTACATCCACACCAGCATCGTTTAGTTTTTGAGCAGTATGTTTGCAAAGAGAGTGGTTGACAATTCTTTTACCAGCACAATTGATACCTGTAATGGAGCAAATTTCTTTCATAAAGCCAGATAATTTGTCACGACCTAAATGACGGTTTGAGTACCAAACGTCATCTTAAAAAAAAAAAAAAAAAAAAAGTAGTATTATAAATAAATAAATAAATAAATAAAATTTAAATAATTATTAGTATACCAGAATAATCAATGAGTGGATGAAGAAAAAATTCTTCATCTGCATTAGGAGGTCGTTTCGACATATAAAGTTTAATATCAGCAATTGGGCCATATTCGTTAGCTTCATCAGGTGGTATAATATGATATTGTTCCTTGGCTTTTTCATGTGCACGCCTATGGTGAAAATAACCACCTTGATGCGTTTTATCATGGATTGTTACCAAATCGAATCCACCATCATCACGTGGAATCAAATCCTTTAATTTAATTTTATAATAAGAACCAGCCCGTCATGCCGTAATGCATCCAATCCATAAAAACACTCTATATAAAAGCCCACAAGGGTTATTTCAAGAGAGTTGTAAATGATTAAAAATAATTTGCATTTCTTCATTAGTTAGAGGATCTGTGTCTTGATATGAAGTTGTTTGTTTTAACTCTTTCATACAACTATGGAGAATTTCACGAAATTCCTTGAACTCAAAATCCATATGAACATTAACAGGTTGATGCTTAAATGTAGTTTGCAAATAACGGTTGATTGCATTAATTCTGACATACAAGGACTCTGAAGAATAATCCGTGTTGTTTCTTGTTTTTACTTGAACTATGAATTCAGAAAAAAGGCTCGCAATAGCTACTTTATCTTCAGAAGTATTAAGATTGAAATCAGGTTGGACGTCATTGATGTAATCTTTAAACCGATTAGCCCATATTAATGTACTTTTTTGGGTATTTTCAGGTACAGCCTTTTTTTTATAGAGCTGAAGTTTTTCAGCAGATGGTTTTTCAAATTTTTTATGAATTTTGGATGGATCACCGTAAGTAGAATGAAAATCAGAAGCCTTAATAAAAGAACGTTTCATATTTTTTTTATTTTTTTTAAGTAATGGTATGTTTAAAGGAAAGATACATTATTTGATATAAATAATTTAATATCATTTTATATCAAGCCTTAATTATGTATAAGCTAATTATGTATTTTATCATGTGAGAGGTCAGGGTATTAAGTAATAATATCTTGGGTTACTGTGTATTAGTGGATTGATCCGGGCAGTGATAATAGAAATATGTACTGATACTGATCAGCCGCTTACGCGGCCGATCAGTATCAGTACGTATTTCCGTTATCACTGCCCGGATCAATCCACTAATACCCAACGACCCAAGATATTATTATTATTAATGCCCTGGGTCGGATAAAAATACTTGCGCATGTGTAATTAGATTTGGACATTTAATATGATAATTGAAAATAATCTAATTATATGTATCACTTTTACTAAAACGCACATATGGTGTTTTATCACCTATGTTGCATTATCTTAAAAACTAGCTAACTAATTAATATGCGAGCTTTAAGTAAAAAATGCTCTATATCCTCAAAAACCCTTCCTAAACCTTAATTCTATCATTAAATACTAACCCAAACATAAAAATTTATACTAAAAATTTTGTATAAAGAAAACTTATAAAACTTAGAAAAATATATAAAAATATATAATAGGTGCAAAATCACCATAGGTGCATTTTATAATAAATGATATGTATTATTCCTTTAACAAGAGTTATTTATTCCATTAACAATATCCATGTTGGCATATACGTAATAAAAATATCCTGAACCGTTGAGTATTGGTGAAAACAGAGTTTCCGCCTATACACATACAGATCAGAGTACTTTTACTAAATACCCGTGATCTTGATATAGTGATAGGGGTATTTAGTAGGTATTTAGCCTTAGAAATCAGTTTGTTTAATTATAAGTAAAAAGACATTCTATTTATCAAGCCAATAAATCAGAAATTTTTATCTGTAGAATTTAATTAGGGAATTGCTATTCATACCTCTCAAATTTGTTATTCATACCCCATACAAATTAAAGTTTTTTTTTGAACTTTGTGCAAAGATATCTTGACAATCTAAAAGTCAAATTTATAAACTTTTTTATTTGAATTCTATGCATTCAGAGTCTTAAATAAAACCAAAATGTTTAACAAAACTCAATTTTTTTTTTTATTCTTTGAGCGAAAATATCTCGACACTCATTGAGCCAAATTCGATGAACTTTTTTTTTCTGAATTCCAAGAATTTATAAAATTCAAATAAAGAAAAGTTTATTGAGTTTTCTTGGTAATTGTCAAGATAAACATTCAAATATTTAAAAAAACTTAATGTCGCAAATGTTTGAACGAAGGTATCTTAACAATTACTGGGTCGATTTTTTTTTTTATTATTATTATTTGAATTCTATAGATTCATAGAATTCAAAAAAAATAAATTAGTTCATCAAATTTGGCTTGATAGTTACTGAGATATTTTCGCTCAAAAATAAAAAAAATTTTGCGCAGATTCTATTTATAGGCGTTGAGTTTTTAAAATTCGAACGAAGATATCATTACAATCATCAAGTCAAATTCAATAAACTTTTTTATTTAAATTCTACATATTCTTAAAATTCAAATAAAAAAAAGTTCATTGAATTTGACTTGGTGAGCGTCGAGATATCTTCGCTCAAAGAATAAAAAAAATTTAGTTTAATAGACGGTTTGAGTTTTTTAAGACTTTGAGCGAAGATATCTCGACAGCCACTGGGAAAATTTTAATGAACATTTTTTATTTGAATTCTGAGAATGCATAGAATTCAAATAAAAAAAGTTTATCGAATTTGACTTGGTGGTTGTCGAGAGGTATTACCCCATTGGGTACGGTACAGTTTTGGGTATTGGGTATGGTATATTACTGATGTACTTATATGTACCTAGTAATTTTTTGTACCCACTAGGTACGCAAAATATTAGAGTACTAAGTGGTACTATTCTAATGAACTGTACATAATAAAAAAATTTTTTTTCTAGGTACGGTACACTTTAAATTTATTATTTAATTTGTACACCTAAAATTTTTTTAATACTTTTGCAAATAATTAATTAAGAGTGTGATCAATTATTTATGTGATATGACAAATAGTATGTAGCATTTGCTCTGCAAATGCTTATTTGTTACAGCTATTTAATTAAGCAAAAAATAATTATTTAAATTCTAATTTATCTGAACCTAATTGTTTTGCTTTTTCTTTTAATTCAATTTCTTTAGCAAACAATTCTAATCTAATTCTTTCATTCTCTAATTTTTTCTTTTCAAATTCTATTTCAGCTTCTTGCTTTTGCTATTCTATTTCAACTTCTCTTTCTTTAATAGAGATATCCAATTCTCTTTCTTTTAAAGCCAATTCTCTTTCTAATACTGATTTTGAACCCTCAGCATAATTTGAAGATAATTCTTCAATATTTTTTGAACCAATTCTAGTTCTTGCTTTTTTTTTAATAGGTGCATTTCTTTGACTACTTTTTTGATTTTTAATACTTGTAATTTTTTTGCCTTAAATAATAATTAATTAATTAATTAATTTAAATTAAAATTTTTAAAAAAATTAAAAAATAATTTTAATATTTACCTTTTCTTTTATTTGCATTATATTTTCTTTGTGTTATACTAGTATCTTTATGTGTTTTTGGAATTGAAAATTGATTATGTATTCCAATTCTTTTATAAGCCAATAAATCAAAATTTCATCCTCTTATAAAATTAAATTAGTAAAATTTTTATTTTAAATAAATTAATAAATTAATAAATTAATAATACTTACTTTATAATTGCTGTTCTAAGTTTTAATTTTGTTCCTTCTCTATTAACAGATGCATGCACAGACTCTGCAATATTTGTATCAAATAGAGTTGAATTCCATAAATTAATTGGCATTTTAGTATAAGCTTCTGTTAATGAAGCTAATATCCAAGGAGTTTTATAAAATGAAATCCAATCTAAAAACAAAGAATTTAAAATAATATAAGATTAATTATTTTTAAAAAATTATATAAATTAAATAACTTAACTTGAATTTTTGGTTCATTTAATTTTTCTAAAGATTTAAAAAGTTGTTGAATATTTTCTTTACTTGTTTGATTAATTAATTCTCTCATTAAAGCTTTTGCTCTTTCAGAATATTTGCTATTATGAATATTTCTATTACAAAATATTTATTATTAAATAAAAATTTAATTAAAAATTTAAAAAAATTAATTTATTAATATTATATTTATAAATAATAAATTATTTATTTACCTTTGAAAATGAACTCTACATGATTTAACAATATATTCTAAATGCTTCTTTCCTTTTTTTGAAGGATCAATTATTTTTAATGCTTTTGCAAGACCTTTTGCTTTAGCTAAATCTAAATCAACAATAATACAGCCTAATCCTGTATTATGAATATGTTGAAATTGAAGTTTTTGAGAAGTTAATATTTCAATATAATTAAAAAATGAATTAAACATTTCTTTATATGCTTCAGAAGTAGCTACAGTAGTAAAAATTCTACATAAGCATAAAGCTAAATTTAAAAAAATTAGTAATTTAATTAATATATTATAATATAACTAAAGTATTAAAAATAAACTTACTTGTTGAATATTTTTAATCATAAATATTAAATTCTAATTCATTAATATCTTTATTTGCAACTCTTTTAAAAGAAAGATCAACTTGAAAATAATTATATTCTAAAACTTTTTGTGCTTGAATTTTTATAATATATAAAATCATTAAATTTCCATTTGGAAAAAATGCTAAAATTTAATTATTTTAGTAAATAGGTTTAAAAAATGAATTATTAATAATTATAATTTTATACTTACAAATTTTTTGAATATAATTTTGTAAATTATTATTATTTTTCCAAAAATCATAAACAACTCCAAAAATATCTTGTCCAAATGGATATATTTAATTCTGTGCTTTTGTACAAGTCTTCTAACTTTGTCAATATTGTTTAAAGATACATGTATATCAGACAAAATTTGTTCATCAAAAAAAAGAAGAAACAATATTGCCTAAATTAGTTTAATAAAAAATTATTAGTTTTTTTAAAAAATAATAAATTTATATTATTTTAAAAATTTACCTGAACAAATATTTTTAATACTAATATCTGTTGACCTTTCTATTTCTTGTTCAATTAATTTTTTTAAAGTTAATTGAATATGTAATGGAGTTTTTCCAGGTAGAGGTAGATAATGTTTATGAACTTCTTTGTAATATAGTATAATAAAAAGACATGCTTTTAAATCATGTGGTTCATATTGAATAAATTTAACTTCACATTCAAGTCTTTTAAGTTTTAATTTTGTTGCTTTATTTTGATAAATATGTTTATGAGCTAAAAAATATAAAATTAAAATTAATAAATTAAAATTAATTAATTAAATAATATAAATATTAAATATAAAATTATTTATACAACAAAAACTTTTAGTTGAAGAAGCAGAAATAATAGTTCTACATGCTGAATCATCCTAAAAATAAAATAATTAATTATAATTTAAAATAAATTAATATAAAATAATTTTTATTTACCTCATATGATGTTATTATTCCATTATTATCAAATAAATCTTTTAATAATTCAATATTACATCCTGGTCTAATTTTTTGTACTCTATGATTTTTTTGACCAGGTTGCCATCTATTACAACCAATAAAAGGTTTCATAATCTCTACATCACCTCTTGAAGATTCTTTTTGAATAATATAATCTTCATTTAAAATATTTTCATCTTGATTTCTATTATTCAAAATATTATAGTATTAAATAATTAGATTTCCTCCACAAGTATAATTATTATAAGGACAATTTGTTTTAATTGTTGCTAAATATTCTCTACAAATAAAATTAAATTAATTAATAAAAAATTTATAAATTAAATAAAATAAATTAATAAATAAATTTAAATAAAAATTAAAAACTAAAAATTAAAACTTAAAAATTTGTTACCCAATTGTATTAGTTTTAATTTGATTTTCTTCATTTAATAAATTATTATTATCATGAAAATTTAAATCTAAATCTGGATTAATATTATAATAAGGTGTTTTTACTAAATTCATATCAGCTATTTCACAAATTTTAATTCCTCTACATGTTTTAATAGTTTCATGGCAATCAACTCCTAAAAAAGAACAAAATACTTTAGAATGATATCCTTTTGGTTCATCTAATAAATATTGAATCTAATTATTAAAATAAATATAAAATTTTATTTAATAAATTATTAATTTAATAAATATTAATGAATATTAAATAAAATAAATAAAACTTACATCTTTTAATAAAGAATATGTATTATCCTATTTTTCTATACAAAAAAACATGTGCAATTCCTTCTTCTAAAGTTGCAGGATATTCAATTGGTGTTAAATGATATTGAATATTTGTTACAATATTATTTTTTGTTAATTGAATTAATGGTTGTTCAAATTGGTTTTTAAGCTGAATATCAGATAATAATTCTTGATCCAGAGATTGAATAGAATTATTTAAAATAATAAGATCACTTTCATTTCCTGATGATTCAGCAGTACTATTTGAATCTTCCTAAAAATATTAAAAAATTAATATTAATAAAATAAATAAATATAATTAATTTAAAAAAACTAGTAAAATATTAATTATAAATTACAAAATATTCATCCTCCTGAGTCATATATTCACACGAATCAAAAGCATCTATAAGAGAATCAATAGAATCAAAAGACATGTTGATAAAAATTGTACTATAATAGATTTCTAAATTTTAAAAAAATATAATTAATAAAATTATCTATCTATATATAATATTTATATATTTATCTAAAAGTTAAACTAATAACTTTATTTAACAATTTAACAAGTTAAAAATTACAATATAATTAATATAATTACATATAATATATAGGTTATCTTTTATTATATATTAAAAAATAATTATAATTGTTACATAATATTAAAAAAATAATTATATAATTACATTTAAACTAATTACATATAACATATAGTATATCTTTTTATTATATATTAAAAAATGATTATAATTATTACATCATGTTAAAAAAATAATTATATAATTGCATTTAAACTAATTAAATAACTATTTAATATAATTATAATACAAAATTTTTTATTACTACATTTTTTTTTTTTTTTGTACTGTACGATATCGTACCTACACTTACTATTAACTATTTGGGTACAGTACTTTTTTTTATCATATTTAATTTTTTTTTCTGTACCGTACTGTACCCAAACTAGTAATAGCAAACTTGGGTACAGTAATATTTTCTTTAACTTCGTTTATTTTTTTGGTGTACCCAATACTAAAAAAAAATTATGGGTACGCTAATTAATTTTTTTTTTTGCGTCCCTACTAAAAAAAAAAATACCTAGGTACGGTCACTTTTCTGTACCGTACCGCACCTAATACTTATTATTGTACCGTACCTTAAAAATATATACTCGTTGTCGAGATATCTTCGCCCCAAAGTTTAAATAAACTTTAATTTCCATGAGGTATGAATATGTGGCTCGCTAATCACCGCTTAAGTTTCATGTGCTACCATATACGTATGAATAATCATGCAGTTAACATACGTACGTACGTATGTGTGTACAAAATTAGATTGAGTTTCTGTGCAAGTGTCACACTCAATCTCCAAAAGTTTTATGCATAGTTAAAATGGCATTGAAATTTTTTGAAAAACTCTCAAATAATTATCTTGAGCTTCTTGATGAAGAAGATTTTAACATATTCATTAATGTTGGTGAATCTCCAAACACAAAGAAATTCAAAGCGCATTCAGCAATTTTAAGATGCAGATCTTCATATTTTCGTAATGAATTGATGAATATCAGCAAAGATGAGAATGATATTAAATCGCTTAATTTAAAAAATATTTCTGTACAGCAATTTGAAATTATTATCAAGTAAGTAGTTTTAAATTGTAAACGTACGATTTATAATTTATATATGCTATAAGAAAAAATTTAATATATATATATACAAAGATATATCTATGGAGGAATCGTCTTACTTGAAAAACAAGATGCATCATTCATTTTTGAGCTTATGCTTATTGCTTATGAATTTCTTTTTGACGAATTGGCTAAACAACTTCAAACTCACTTAATTGAAAAGGAGGCTCACTGGCTACGTTTACGTTTTAATCGTATTTATCAAAAAAGTTTTCAAAATAATAAGCTTCAAGATTTACAAAATTGGTGTAATGATATTGTGGTAAAGTATCCTAGCAAGGTTTTTGATTCTGATGAATTCTTCACACTTCAAGAAAGTGCATTGATCTCCCTTATTAGTCGAGATGATTTACAAATGGAAGAAATAAAAATTTGGAACCATATTATAAAATGGGGAATTGCTCAAAATTCCAATTTACCACCCGATCCTAAAATCTGGTCCCATGAAAATTTCATTGCTTTAAAGACTACTTTACAAAATTGTTTGCCTCATATACGTTATTTTCAAATGTCTGGTAAAGATATTATTAATAATATACAACCTTATCAACAAATTCTTGAAAGAAAACTTTGGAAAGATATCATGAAAAAGTATATGGCAAATGAACCAATATCTTCTACCGTTCTTCCATCTCGAATAATTTTAAAAACAACACTACCCACTAGAATTGTAAAATCATTTTCAACAATTATAAATGAAGCACATGGAGCAGAAATTGCCTCTTGGGTTGATAAGAAAGATGATACGTATTTAGTAACTAATAATCCATATGAATTTAAATTACTTCTTCGTGGAAGCAGAGATGGTTTTACTGCTACTCAATTTTGGAATTTATGCAATAAACAAACTCATCTTGTTATACTCATGAAGGTTACGGGGACTGATGAAATTCTTGGTGGATATAATCCTATTGGTTGGGATAAACCAATATCAGTTTTAGGACATACTAGGAGTTGCAAAGAAAGCTTTATTTTTTCGTTGAAAAATGGTAGTATTCAAAATTCTATTTTAAGTCGTGTGAAAGAACCAGAAAGTGCAATTTACTGTTGTTCTAATTATGGTCCAGTTTTCGGAGTTGGTCTTGCTCTGTCAAATAATTTTTATCAAACTTTTAAATGTTGGACTTATAAAATAGGTGCATATGGGAAACCAATTAGAGATGAAGCTTTATATAAAATTGCGTGGATTGGAAAGCATGATGTATCATATTTTTCAGTAGAGGAATATGAAATATTTCAAATTAATAAAAAATAATAAGGCTTTTATATAAATTTAATTCGCCAAAAGATAGCATTATTATGACTGAGAGTAAATATTTACAAACTGATAAATTTAAAAATATATTTGATAACTGTATACATAAATTCTTTTACATATAATGACTTTACTATAACTAAAGGTGTTCTCAAGCATCCCGTCAATTAAATAATGATCATGGTAGCTCTCAAGCATCATAATTAATGAAGACATTTATAGAATTAAATATTTGAGCGTATCTTTTCTATTTTTCATCATTTTCTTTACGTCTCCTAAAAATCTAATGAAAATTTTTATTCAACTACCGTTGGCCACTGCATACAGTACACGGGGTCCTATTCAAGAATTTCATTTTAAAATTGAATAGTACCCGTGGGTATTGTGTGAGGAACCGGGTACTATATTTGGGGAATACATTATATGAAAGTAATAAATTAGATTTAGTTATACCCGGTATTATTCAAGAATTAGGCCATATGGTAGTGAATAATAGGGTATACTGTATGCAGTGACCAACGGTAGTTGCTGAAGCCCAATAAAAAGTATTTGTATAAAAATTGTAAATTAACATAACAGTTTTAATACAATTGTCAGCATTTATACAATTTTTGTTACAGCGTTTGTAAATAATTTGTAATAAATATATAATAAATGAAATCATAAGCTGTATTTTTTTATTTATTATATATTTATTACAAACTATTTACAAATATTGTGACAAAAGCTGTATGAATGCTCATAATTGTATTAAAATTGCTATATTAATTACAAATACTTTTTATTGGGAAGCTTCAACTTCAGTTTCACTGGCTTGGCCAATTAAATTTTTGCTGCAAAAGTAACAGAAACAACCTATGGAGTCGTTAGCAAAATTGCTTTACGGAAATAAGTAAAATTTAAAAAATATTTTTTTTGTATAGACAATTTATAGTAATTCTGTAGTTGCTACTTAGCACTGGAAGTCAGCATAGGTAATACGAAAATATCTTCGAAAAAAGTTATAACGTTCATATCCGTTAAATATAATTCGTCCAAATCCTTCAGCTTTGATCATCTTTTGCTGAAAAATTGTTAAATTTAGGTGAACAAAAACGAAATAATAGTATTCATTATACTTTGATTAAAAAAAGATTAAAAGATAGGTTGCATTTATTACGTTCATATCAAGGTCGATTATTTACTTTAAAAGTTTGAGCATTAAAAATTAATGGCTATTTTTGTTAGAAATTTGTTAAGAATTCACTGTTTATCATGAAAAAATGTAAAAATAATGCTTGAGTGTCCTTTATCAATGTTAAATTTTTAATGCATGTTGACAAGGGTCAACGGATCGAAAAGAAAGGGTAGAACTGGCCAGGGGTTACATGCCACGTGCTACAA